TGTGTGTGTGTGTGTGTGTGTGTGTGTGTGTGTGTGTGTGTGTGTGTGTGTGTGTGTGTGTGTGTGTGTGTGTGTGTGTGTGTGTGTGTGTGTGTGTGTGTGTGTGTGTGTGTGTGTGTGTGTGTGTGTGTTTGTGAGTGTAGGGTGTTTTTCACCAGCTAGCCACAATCCATTTATCCACGATGAATACCATCCTGTCAAAGAACGCTGATTTTTCTGAAATTCAATTCAGTTCAGTTTATTTATTTAGTGCCAAGTCACAACAGAAGTCATCTGAGGGCACTGAGCAGAAACATTCACAAACATTATAAATGGCAATAAGTAAAAGTGGTCTATCTAAGGAAGCAGCAGACTGTGATGAAACTTCACTTCATCACAGTCTCTCATCCTGAGCAAGCACAAAGGAGATGGTGGAAAGGAAAAACTGTCTTTTAACAGGAAGAAACCTCTGACAGAACCAGGCTCAGGACAAGTGGCCATCTGATTTGACCGGCTGGGTTTCAGAGGACAGGAAGGAGAAATAGATACACAATGGCAGGTCCAGGTGTACCCCCTATTTGAAAAAAGACAAAAAACATATGTTAAGGGTAGAAATGGTTACAAACACAAACGGGTAGCGCAAAGTAAGTAAAGACAGCAGCAGAGTGAAGAAATGTGATAATTTTTTTTCTCCAGCAGTCTTAAGACTATATAGCAGCATAACTAAGGGATAGCTCAGGAAACCGAAGCCAATCCCAACTATAGGATTTATCAAAAAGGAAAGACTTAAGCCTAATCCAGCAAAGTTCAGTCAGGTCCTCTGGACGGTTTCTTTGTGTTGAAATGTTTCGTCTTTCATCCAAAGGACTTCATCAGTCCAAAGAGCTGCAACTACCATAAGTAGCTCACGCACATAGTCGGCCAACCAGTTTGATGGTGATAAGATGGTTTCCGGAGGATGAAAGATGAAACATTTCAACACAAAGAAACCATCCAGAGGAGATGACTTTGTTGGATTTTTAAAAAAATCTGGATTATTGAGCACGAACTTTGAAATGTAAGCCCAGTCTTAAAACTGGACTTAGTATCAGTCTCATGGACAGAAACTGGAAGTTGGTTCCACAAGAGAGGAGCCTGACAACTGAAAGATCTTCCTCCCATTCTGCTTCTGGAAACTCTAGGAACCACAAGTAAACCTTCAGTCTGAAATGTTCGAGGAAGTCTGTTCCAGCTGTTATTTCTTTTTAAACTGAGTCACTATGAAACGTTACCAAGAAAAGGAACGAAAACACTTTGATTCAAACAAATATTTTGGCAGAATGTGAAACTTTCATGGCAGGAAGTGTAATAAATGAGCAGATTCTGCTGCTTGCACTCTGCTGTTGTTATTTATGGTGACTCACCCAGTTTTAACCCTCCCTCTGTGTCTGTTCCTCCTGTCCTCTGTGCACAGCGAGCCTGTCTCTCTGCATCCTGCGCTCCAGGCTCATTAACCAAATACTCATTAATTTATGTGATGCCATTAGTACCACAGAGCTCGGTGTCAGTTTGGGGTTGCAGGAAGAGATCTGACTTGCTCCTATCCAGTCATTTAAACAAGAATCATCTCTTGGCTGCATCTCTTGATGGTGCTCTTGGCTTGTCGATGGATATGCACCAATTTGAACAGCTGTTGTTTGTTTTTTCCAGTTTTATGTACCACAAATTTAACCAGACCTACTATGGTCCAGGTTTCCTGCCCTCATAAGTAAATTACGATTTACTTCAGGGTCCTATCATAAACCTCTTTCGCTCAAAACCCAGTTTCGCTTTCTGTCTGCTCGCCTGCTCGTTTGTTGGAGCTAATTAAGTGAAACCGCCAGGGGAGCTGGGATGGCCCCCTAAGGCCCATCAGCAGCTCTGACACTCATAAATCTGCCCAGCCAGCCCCGGTGAATTGTAATTCAATTTGGCTCAGTCTGGAGGTTGGATGTGCAGCCGTGTGAGGAAGAAGGCGTCTTTAGCCCCGCCTCCACCTCTGTGTCTCGCTCCCTGCAGCATCAGCAGCAGGAATTTCCCTGACATCTTAGACGCTTGCTTCAGGTTATCAGCACTCCGTGTGAGAACGCCTTCATGATTTGAAGAGTACATCTCATCTACACGTATCCGGTTTTATTTTCTGTCTGTGTTGTTGGATTTTAAAAGCAGCAGTTTGAACAGGATGAACAGGTGTCTCTCCCAGAAGGCAACATGGGATTAAAAGCAAACTGTCTCAGAACCGCCACATGCTCTGCATCTTAACTTTTAATACATAGCAGAGTGCACGTGGATCCTGCAGGAGACGAAGAAGCACTGCTGTTACGCGACATTTAATTTTGTTCAGTGCAGTCGGGATTTAGCTCAAAGAAGACACGGCTAAGCCAAAGTACTTACGTTTGTATCAAAGTATTAACTCAGAGCAGAAAAAACAGCTGCACTGGACCCATCATCTTATCGGAGCTATTTTTAAACCATTTTCACAATCGTAGTGATAAAATAAATCGGGCGTTAAATAACCTCAAGTTGCTTTCACCTGAGTGAGGGAGGAGACGGGGACGGACGCCGTCTAAAACCCTGTATTATCTCTGTGATCATGTGATTGGTCCGGGGCAGATTATTGTCAGTCTGCTGTATAGTTGCATGCCCTGGGAGGGATGAAGAGAGGAGGCAACACTTTCTCCTCACTCTTAGATCACTTTGGAGTGGAGACAAACTGTCTGCTGAGGTGAGGGCTCGTGTTCAGTCGTGGTTTTGTCGCGCAGCAGATTTCATTTAGTGGTTTTGGTAGGTGCAATGTCTCAGTGAATATTCTTTAGAAACTTGAAGTTTTGCTTTATGGAGAGTATTTACTCATGAAGTTTGTTTTCAAAGCTGTGCAGTTCATTGTGTTTTCACATCAAAGATGGATTTTTTTGTAGAGTTTTACATGAATTCAACTGGTTTTTATTTGTGGATTGTAGTTAACAAACGTCACATTGGTTTTTAACTCTTAATGTCAAAGATTGTGATTTAAAGTGTTTCACATGCTTAGTCAGAAAATAGTTGTTGTCTTTTTGTTTTTCTTGCCTCTCCAGAGTACTTCATGCTTGTTCTCCATTATTGTCACTGTCTTTATTATAGATGAGCTGTGAGCAGCTGGTGGGCTGAGGCAGTCTGAAGCTCAGACCAGCTTTTAGAGAGCGACTGGCACAGACGGAGCAGAGCGCAAAGACACAGATTATCAGTCTGGCTCGCTCAACCTGCATACTTTCCTTTTTGTTTATTTTGTTTTCTCTGGCGGGACTCATCGGAGCGTGGAAGGCAATATGTCTGTGTAAATCCTGACGGTGGATGTCAAAGCCCTTCTGCTGACCAGCAGCTCAGCTTTCATACAAGCACCGTCTGGATGGAGCAAGCGATGGAATCCCCTGCATTGCTGGAATGTTTTGCTTGCTCAAGGCGAACATGTTGGCGACCACGCCCTTTTTGCCTTACAAGACCTTTCCAACAAATCCGCTGTCACCCTGAGACAGCGCCGCCTCACCTGCAGTGTAGGTATGGGGATGTGCAGGGTGGGCGGAGTCTGCCTGGAGAGTGATAGACAAATTTCTGCTTTTCCTTCATGTTTTTACACAGACTTGATGAATGTGATGCATCATTCAGTTGTAGGTTAAAAACTGACTCACGCTGCATTTCTCCTTGTCATGTCAGATCTTTCTGTTTCCCCCGCTGCAGTTCTTCTTTTCTCACTACTCCGACTCATTCTGCTCCGACCCCACGATGAGCGCCGTGACCTCCTGTCTGACTCACTTCTCCTCTGCGCTTTCCCTCTCTTTGCAGTCCCACGCATCAACGGTCACTCTAAATCGGAGCGCACAGCGCGGGACTCGGCCATGGGTTACGACAGCGCATCCGTAATGAGCAGCGAGCTGGAGTCCAGCTCGTTTGTTGACAGCGAGGAAGAGGAGGACGCCAGCAGGTAATGCTCTACCTTGCATCAAAACGTGCTTCAGTGGCATCCAAACACTCAGACAGGACCACAGGTTCATCATGCTGACACACATCAAGTCCTTTTGACACTTATTAATTTAAACCAAAAGTTTCAATAATTTAGGGTTTGATAAGTTAAGTTAGAAGTTTAGGCCCAATAAAATATCAACGAGCAGTATGAGTGTGACATCACAAGTGAGTTTCACAATATATTTATTACATTATAAATGTTTTTTATATACAGTCAACCTGTGTGAGGTTTTTTTGTTATGGTTCATTTGAACATCTAAATTATAACCTGGTCCATTTTTTATTCTGTGAAATCTATACAGTAGAAGATAATTCCCAAAGATCATAAAATCCTGTGCATATAACACACACACACACACACACTGAATTAATTTAGATTTCGAGCTCTAACATTCCTTGAAGGAACGTGACTAAATATGACTGAGATGATGTTTTGTTGAGAAATGACAACGATGTGGTCGTTTTGGTTGAACCTTGAAAAGTGTGTCCTCTCAGGCGACATCATAAGATGACACATTTATGTACTCACACACACGACTGACTTAAAGCTACTGCTTTAAGCCAGTTGGTTGCGGCAGCGATCTTGAATTGCATTGACTTCAAAAGGTGATCAGCTTTAAATATACAACCAACAATTACTTTATGCAAGTTTTATTAAATATTGTCAAGTGGTACTTGAGATGTTTTATCAACAGACACACAAATACTTGGGCTAAATTATTATGTCTTGATGATACTGTGGGTGATTAAATTTCATATAATTAGTAAACTTTAGGGCCTGTTTTCTTGTGCTGGGACCATTTTGAATCTGTTTGGGGTGTTTTCTGAAGCCTGAAGTCCACGTTTGATGGTGACACGGACACACGGACTGTTTGAACCACTCCCCTCAGGCAGGAGGCTTCGGTCCATTCGGACCAGAACCTCCCGCCATAAGAACAGTTTCTATTTCAATTCCTAGTTTGTGAACCTCGTTCTTGACATGGCGATAATAAACTGATTCTGATTCTGATTCTGAAATGTGTATCCTGAAACATTTTGACACTGAATGTGAGTTACCTGCGCTGTAAACAGAGTTCTGTCAGTCAGCAACACACATCAACGGGTCTGCTGATGTTTCTGTAAAACTGACAATACAGTAGTCCCTCGTTTATCACGGGGGATCTGTACCCTGAAGCCCCGCGATAAGTGAAAAACTGCAAAGTAGGAATAGTAGTACAAGTTGTAAGTAAAAGTTTATTTTAGTATATATGGGGGTGAAGGTGTTTTAAACCCTTCCCGCACTCTTGCAATATTTTAAACAATGTTTCTAAACTCTATATTTTCTAAAAGAGCACAGAATGTCATGATTTCAGCTCCCTGCCTCGTCTGCTCTTTGCCACCTGCAAGTGCTGTTGGCCACGCCCACTTCTCCGCTCATCACACTGATCAGCTGCAGCAGGAAGTTTATCCTGCAGCAGTAAGGGCTGCACAAAGCTGTAGGAGGAAGTTTTTTTTCTGCAGTATGGGCTTCACAAATGTGCAGCAGGTGCTAAATAATTTTAAATAATTTATTTTGAATAATAATTCCATGCCGATCGTGCGGCTCATCCATCAATCAGCCAATTGTGTGTCATGTCCAATCTTATTTTGAAAAACCGTGATAGAGCGAGTCCGCGATAAACGAACCGCGAAGTAGCGAGGGACTACTGTATATTCAGACATCTGAACTGTACTATTCTGACAAAAGCTTCAGAGCCATTTGATTTTCTGTGTCGTCTCTTAAAAAGCTTAGTTGCCTAACACTAAATACGAGGAGCCAAAATGATCAGTGCTGTTACAGAGCTCAGTGTTAGAGCAGAGACTGGAGAGTTAAAGGATCCACAGTTCTCTGACAGCCATCAGCTGTTTTACAGTAACATTACAGCTGTGGTAGTTAGGTGAATATAATGCTGTTCTGTGATTGACAGCACATTATAGCTTACAGCAACCCATAGCCAGGGTCCAGCATCTCTAAAACTATTAAAACAAACATTAAACCAAATCAGCTCACCCATAAAACATCCTTTATTTCACTTTCATTATTCAAATATTGGCAAAAACATATTTTTACTAAGGATTCTGATAAACAGTTCAATGAAACATTTAGCTAAATAAACAGAAATAAAAATCCTCTATCATCGGAAATTCCCAAATGTTGCTGTTTAATTATTAATAAGAAGGGAGCTAAGTTGACTTGTTTTTTAAACTCTGAGATGCTCGCTCAGCTGCCTGTTCAGTCCAGTAGGAGGTCCTACATCTGGAATTGACAGATCACTGTTCAGTCTATACAACGTCCAGACCACCTCCAAAGGTGGTTTGATTGAAAATGTTTTCATTGCATGTTCAGACCTGTATTGGTGCTATTCAACTGCAATGGGACATCTAAAAACCAGTTTAGATGACAGATCTGAACAGCCATTTAGAAAGCGGACCAATAAAAGGTTAAAGTTAGCATTGAATCATTTTTAATCACAATGATTTGATGTTCATTAGCACATCTTGGAGACTCAAAGCCTCCCAGTAGAGTTGCATTCGGGCCCAAAAACATCCAGTCTGACCCGGCCCCAGCCCGCAGTCATCATTTCATTCCACCACATGTACCACGTGTGGTGTGTATGACAAAATAAGAACCTTGAATCCTTGAATCATTTCCGAACCCCACCGAACCGAACAGTAATTACAGGTTCGAACCAGGAAAACCCTCCAACATTTTTAATTAGTTATTAACGGTCGGGGATGTGCGGCTGAATTAAGGGGCAGAAGATCAGAGCTGAGGGTGTTTGTTCTTTCATGGCCGTCAAAGAGCCTTTAAACCCTGTTTCTGCCTGCATTCCGATTTATTCACAGACCCTGCTCTGACACGTCTGCTTTGGGATCTCACCTCTTTGGGTCTTCGGCCGCGCGCGTCCGCTGAGTGCAGCGGCTGAATGAACGTCCATTTGTAAATCACATTGAGTATCTTGGATAGAAAGAGTTATACAAGTACAGTCCATTTCCCACAGAGAACAAAGAATATTTTCTTCCAGTATCAAAACCTGATGTGACAACAGTCCAGTTGTTTTAGTTCATTGTCTTTAAAAACCCTACGCTCACTGTGAAGTATTTATCTGTGGTCCGTAAACATTCAGACGATTAGATGTTTCACACAGTTTAAGGATGTCGTCTGAATATTTCCACTCAACAAGTCAAATAAATTCAATAAATTTGATGTAACAGAATATCCACGAGTCGACCCTCTTTTTAATTTTGATATCCCACCTCTCCTCACTCTCTTTTCTTTTGACACGAGTTTCTCCTCTGCTCTTGTGTTTTCAGGCTCAGCAGTTCCACAGAACAGAGTTCTTCTTCACAGCTGATGCGCAGACACAAACGGCGCAGACGGAGGCACAAAGTGGCCAAGATAGACCGGGTACGCCTGTCTGAGCCCCATCACCGCCTCCGCTGAAACAAACACTGATGAGATGAGACTTCATGATATAGACCTGATGCCACTTTTTATTCACCATGCACTCACTAGAAACCTCTTCCTGCCTTTTCAGTCTTCATCCTTCAGCAGTATCACAGACTCCACCATGAGCCTCAACATCATCACCGTCACTCTCAACATGGGTACGTTCCACATACTTATTGTTTTAGTTTTTTTTACTGAGGAAAGCTATCTTACTGTAATCTCTCTGACACCAGCTTTAACTTTAATGCTCTTTTCTGTGTTCCTGACAGAGAAGTACAACTTTCTGGGAATCAGTATTGTGGGTCAGAGTAATGATCGGGGAGACGGAGGTATTTACATCGGCTCCATCATGAAGGGAGGCGCTGTAGCTGCAGATGGCAGAATAGAACCTGGAGACATGCTTCTGCAGGTGCACCTCCTGTTTTGATTGTAAAATCGTTTGGTGCAGAAGATGTCAGTCAGGATTCCTCAGCAGCATGCTGACACATAAAGAGATGCTTATCTAATTGTGTTTTTAGCCTATCAGTAAATCAGGACAGTTGCTTCCCGTACAAGACTTTATAAAAGTTTTCCTTCCTGTTTTTGCCATATTTTGTTCTTACACATGCAGTACTATGAAACTCATGATGGATTTCTGTTACCTCCTTCTTAAACATGCACCACCAAACAAAGAACGTAGAACTTACAGAAATTTTAAAGACCCAAGAGTTCATAGAAATCATTGAGTGCAGAGTACAGCTGCATGCAAACATTTCAGTCTAAACTTATCCAGATGTTTTAGTCACAAAGGGTGTTTGCTAGGTAATGTAATGTGATGTAATGGCCTTTTGTTGTTGTCTGTGAACTAGGTGAATGATGTGAACTTTGAGAACATGAGCAACGATGACGCTGTGAGGATCTTAAGAGAGATCGTCTCAAAACCTGGGTAAAAACATTGAACTCCTCAGACCAGTACTAATGATCTCCGAGATGATCACGGACTGTGTTTGGTGTAATGTTACACTTTAAAGTCTTACCAAACTAAAACACTGAAGTGTCACTAAAGTGCAGCTGCGTGGTTTATAGAAAACAGAAATCCTATTTATAAAGAGTCAGTGCACCACGCTTGTTGTTAGAGTTGTTGCAGACTTTACTAAAAGATGCCATCTAACTTTCTGAATGTGGATCAGATCTTCTGCCAGACTTAAACCATATAAGATTTACAGACAAATAACACTATAATATGAATATTATATATTTACTGGCAAGTCACTAATGTAAAATTGACTGTAGGGTAAAGGTTTAAATAAACGGTCTTCAAAGTTCATGCTCAATAATCCAGGTTAAAAAAAATCCAACAAAGTTCAGTCAGGTCATCTGGATGGTTTCTATTTTTTTTTTTATTATTCATCCAAAGGACTTCATCAGTCCAAGGAGCCACAACAAACTGGAGTCCCACAAGCAGCACACTCACATAGTGGACCAACCAGTTTGTTGGTGATAAGATGGTTTCTGGGGCCCTCTCTGATGAAGTCCTTTGGATGAAGGATAAAACATCTCAACACAACAATTGAAACCATCCAGATGACCTGACTGAAATTTGTTGGAGTTAAATAAATGGGTTCGCTTGAACTGGAATATTTTTTAAGACATGAACTTTTAAGAAAGCAGCACATAATCCACATGAGTGTTAATCATCTCCAATCCAGCCAGTAACTAACTTTTTATTTCTCCAAACAGAGGTTGTTCTAAAAACTATTTATATCAGATATGAACAGAAATGTCCAAAAACATTTAATGGATGAACGACAAATAGTAAAAATAATTAGTGATGTTGTGTTGCAATATTTGAATATTATTTATGAAAAATACAAACGTGTATATATTTTTCTTCAGTCCAATCAGTCTTACTGTTGCCAAATGTTGGGATCCATCTCCACGGAGTTACTTCACCATCCCTCGAGGTAAACGACACACTGGACCTAAATCATTACTGCAGATGATAAATATTACATCATAGATATTGTTTTTATCCATATTTAGTGATGAAATTAGAGCTGGACAATCTTTATTTGTCGTAACTTAAAAAATTAACTGCTCTGTGTTTGATCTGTTTAGCTGAACCAGTGAGACCCATCGACCCTGCAGCATGGATTTCACACACCACAGCCCTGACAGGACCGTACCCACACTATGGTACATGCACCCAGCTTATTCCTTTATCATGCTGAAATGGGATCATACAAAACCACTGAGTTTTTCTTCTCCCTCCATCAGAATTTGACGACTTGCCTCTGTCTGCAAGTAAAACAGACATGGCAACCATCGTTAAGGTGATGCAGCTGCCTGACTCAGGCCTCGAGATACGAGACAGGATGTGGTTGAAGATCACCATCGCCAACGCAGTCATTGGTGAGAAAAAGCTGAGCAAAGCTGAACTTAATTTAGCAGCAGGTCTGAGGTTTTAAAATGGGTTTACTGTAAGTTGTGCAGGTAGGTTAAGAGGCATATGTTGACTGATCTTGGTGTGGTTTGTGAGCTGTGACGATTTTACAGTAATTCTCTCCAATAAACCAGTTTTAGTCCTTGCACGTGGTTCTTGGTCGTGGTGTTTGTAACACATCAGCAGTATTGTTGTATGACAGCAGGTGTGTGCGTTCGCTGCTCCCTCAGGTGCTGACGTGGTCGACTGGCTTTACTCCAGAGTCGAGGGATTCAAGGATCGACGAGATGCAAGAAAGTATGCAAGCAGTTTGCTGAAACATGGCTACCTGAGACACACGGTCAACAAAATCACCTTCTCTGAACAGTGCTACTATACGTTTGGGGACCTCTGTCAAAGTACAGCTGCTTTATAATCTTCTTAGATCAGTAACTCAACCCTTGAATCTGTTTTTGCAGAAGGGATGTGCTAAACAATTCTTTTTTTCCCTCTTTTGAAGATATGGCATCATTAAATTTAAATGAGGGATCCAGCGGCGGAGGATCTGAGCAGGACACTTTGGCACCTCTACCTCCTACCAACAACCCCTGGCCTCTGGGTGGGCAGCCGTTCCCCTACCCTCCTTTTCCCTCCGCGCCCCCCAGCTTTCCACCAGGATACTCAGACCCGTGCCACAGTTTCCACAGCGGGAGCGCCGGCAGTCAGCACAGTGAGGGTGAGCACAGGAAGACTCTGACTCGACACATCATCAGTTACCATGATCCAACTCAACAAACCATTTCAGTTACATGACACGAGCGTTAACAGCTGTCTGACTAATGTTAGCTCCTCTGGGAAGCTGCTTTCTCCACAGTTTGTGTTTTCTAAAACACGTTCCTTCATTGTCAAGCTCTACCCTGAGCACCTTAAGTCTCCTTAAGAGCTCTGACGGCTCTGCAGTGCTGGGTGTGGAAACCCGATCAACATAAACGATTGTACTTCACGCTGCCTCTCTGTCCGTTATTGGACGATGGTTTGTTTTCATTTCCAATGAAAATGTGATTCGTGGTGCTGCATGATTTCAAAGGAGAGTGGAGAGGTGGAGGGATTGTCAAATTATACATTTTATTATAGCAAAATAATTCACATGTAATAACTAAATTATCGTTGTCCTGAGTGATTCATCCAAATATGATCATCTTTTGTGTTCATTCATTCTTTCCCTTAAGACAACCAAAAATAATAAAAAACTAGAGAAATTGCATTTCCTGCGAAAATGCAGTGTGAATGCTTATTGCTGAAGAACTTGATGAAAAACAGCTGAAATAAGCTAAAAAAAAAACATGCTGAAATGTAGCTGAAATGGAAGAACAAGCCTAAATTAGCAGGAGAAAGCAGAAAGGACACATATTTGCTGAATCAGGTTTAAATAAGCAGAAATTAGCACAAAAAGTAGAAAATGTATTGTAAAAAAGATGAAATTAGCAACATCATAAAAAGTATCTGAAAAGGCAGGAAGAAGCCAAAGCTACACAAAGGAAGCGGAAAGAACTGAAATGATCTAAAAAAAAAAATGTGGACTTCGATGATAAAGCTAAAATTAGCATAAAAAGAGCTAAATAGTAGCTGAAAGAGCAGAAAAAGCTGAAACTAGCAGAAAAACTGAAAGGAGCATAACAAGCTGAAATGAGCATAAAGATGTTATTAGGCTGAAAGTAGCAGAGTTTACTATGAAAAACTTGGAATTTATCTGAAAACAGCTGAAATTAGCTAAAAATGCTAATGTAGCTGAAAAGTTAGAACAAGCTTAAATTAGCATAAGTTAGCAGAACACATTTGCCCAATTAGGCTTAAAGAAGCAGACTTGAGCACCATAAAGTGGAAATTGTCTGAAAAAAGCTGAAAAATAGCTTTAAAAAAGCTGAAAGAAGCTTAAATTACAAGAAGGAAGTGGAGAGAGAACATTTTTGCTGAATTAGGCTGAAAAAAGTTGAAATGAGTGCAACAAAAGTGGAATTGGCTGAAAACGCTAAAATTAACATAAAACAGCTAAATAGTAGCTGAAATAGCAGAAAAAGCTTAAACTTGCAGAAATAAGATGAAAGGAGCATAACAAGCTGAAATTAGCAGAAAGAAGTTAGAAGAAGCACAACAATGTTGTAGTTAGCAGAAAGAATCTGAAAGGAGCACAAAACAGCTGAAATTAGCTGAAAGTAGCTGAACAAAGTTTAAATTTGCACAAGGAAGCTGAAAGAAGCTGAAGCAGAACAAAATGTGAAAGGAGCAGTAAAAGGTTGTAAACGGATCTAAAGATTTGAAGGATGTAAAATGAGCTCAACTCATTTTCTATGAGGAAAAAAGTGTCAGAAAAGGCTAAATATTTCAAAAAGCTAAAGTTGCACCAATACCAAAAGGCATAGCAGGATTGTCCTGAATGAGCTGAACGTTTTGATACATGATTTGTTGAAACGGCTCAAAAATTGTGGAACGAGAAAGATGCTGAAAAATGTACGTGAGAAAAATTGATCACAAAAGAGTGAATGCTTCATAAACATTCACACAAATAAATACATGTAATGTTCAGTGTTTTTAGTAAACCAGTTTACTTTGCTGGTTTTAAATGGAGCAAGACAATGGGTTCAGCTCCTGCTTGTTTCATGCATGTGTGCATTTTTCGCAGCAGTATATAACAATTTAATGATAATTTCATAGCTGGGTGAAATAAAAAAAAGCTTTACTGGGTGAGAGTAGTTTTGGTAGAAGCCACTGGTCAGTGTTGGAGGAGTCGTGGGCTGGGAGGTGTGTGTAATTCTGTTATTCCCTCTGTTTTTGCTGGGCAACCTTAGACTGAAGGAGGAGGTAGTCCCAGGACACTGGGGGAACCGGTAAGCCTGCTAACCCCCTCTCCTCCGCTGCTGCTCTCTGTTTTCACTCACAACTCAGTCTTTCTTCTGTCCCTCCTGTGTTTCTCCTGCACTTAGCATTCCACCTATCAAACAGCAGCTTTAAAGTTGTTGGTTTTTTTTGGTTGATGTTGATTTTTCTTTACTTTTTTTTTTTTTTTCCTCCGCCAGCCTCATGAACTCTCTGCCCATGTGTAATCTGTGTGTGATTCTCCTGATAGTTGATTCTCCCTCGCTGCACCTCTGGGCATGCGTTTGTTCTGTGCTGGGAGGTGCATGATGCAGGATGATCACTGAGGCTTGTGCTGGTTGGAGCGGGGTGGACGATCTTGTACCACTTCACCCCAGTACTGTTGGGGCTCATTGCTCAGGTGGAGGAGTGGACTATTTGATTCTGCAGCAGTGTGGTACATCTGCATCAGTGTGTCCGATCGGCTTTAAAACATGAAGCTAAAAGCATCAAACTGATGGCGTCACAGGCGGTGATGAGTAATAATGTACTGATGCTGGTGGATCATGTTTACTACCTGTGAGTGATTCACTGTTTGGGGAAACGTCAGACAAAGCTCATGATTTTAGCCACTTTTAAGTGAAACTGTGAGATAATCATGTTTGCCCTTGACTCTTGCTAGACTGGTCACATCTTAAACAAAGTGCATTAACGTGTTTAATCCATGTATGTGCAACACACCAAGTATTCCACAAAGATCCTCTCATGTGACATTGTGTTTGTTCATTCCACAAAGGCTCCGTCAAGCTGTTGTTTAACGTGTGACCTTGTAGTTTCTTCAACAATCAGCTGCATTAGCTGCTCCTGACTCGGTTGTGTCCGCAGCGCCTCACTTGGTGTTTTCTGTTTGACCGTGCGACAAAAGACTCAAACTGTCCTTTTCCCTCCCCCTTTTTTTCGACAGGAAGCCGAAGCAGTGGATCCAACCCCAGCGCAGGCAAAGACAGGCGCTCCCCGCAGGAGAAGTGTCAGAAGACGACGTGCAACGAGTCGGAGCTGGGCATCCGCATAGGGAGGCGCAGCGACAGGTCCGCCAGCCAAATGAGCCATCACAGCCACGCCCGGTCGAGCCTCAGCCACTCGCTCAGGAGCCACTCTCTCTCTCAGAACAACCACCCGTCCTTCATCTACAGCCACGCCCTCTTCGCCCAGCCGGGCCCGAGCTCCTGTGCGCAGAGCGAGCGGAGCCACGCCTCCTCCTACGGCCCCCCAGGCTTGCCTCCCCCTTACTGTTTGGCTCATCTGGCTCCCAAAACCTCAGTCAGCAGCAGCGCGCCACCCGGAGCCCCCCCTGGGAGAGAGCTGGCGTCCATTCCTCCCGAGCTCACCGCCAGCCGCCAGTCGTTCCAGCACGCCATGGGTAACCCCTGCGAGTTCTTCGTGGACATCATGTGACAGGACAGTGCCTTGAAAACACAGCGAGCACAAAACGTTCCTCTCTTCCTCAGTCTTTTTACCAGAATGTAGATGCCAACACCCCCCCCCCCCCCCCCCCGCTATCTGACGTCCACAGAAAGGAAAACCTGCTGCATTTAGCACAAAGGATGGAGTCGCGCTCCGCAGCACAGGTGCTCTGCTGAACTCTTTTTTTATTGACATGTACAGTTTGTGAAACGTGAGTGATGTTCAGTGTGGTGACGTCTTGAAAGCTGCCATGCAGATGTTCTTTGGAGTTTACTCTCTTCAGTATATTTTCTGCTCTGCAAGACCTTTAACGTGGCTGGGACTGGATCTCAGTGCCCCAGACCTGGACATTCTGGCCCAGATCTCTCGTGCCACTGCGTCTGTGCGCACCCTAAAACTCTGCACACGTTCCTCCTGCCCGCTCTCACTTGCCAACACTACCCTTGGTCCACTGACCTTTTCGGCTTCACGGGGAAGGAGTCCCCCCGCCATCAAAAAGGCTGCATAATGCATGACTGTCTCGACGGCTTTAACTGAATTTTCTGAATTCACTTTGTTACAAGTATTAACGTTACCAGAGGAAGGAGGTCACCTCGTAACAACGTTCTAAAAGATGAATCCATACACTGGATGATTTGTGATGATATTTATGTGGTTATGTTGCGTTGACGATGTCATCGTGTGTCTACTGCGGCTCCCGACAGACAATCAGACATCGCGTTTTGTGAGTCGGCAGCCATTTTCCACAGTCTTAGCTGTGCTTTATTCGAATGTATCATTAATGGAAGACACCTAACACAGCTGTTCACCTCAAAGTGTAATAAGCGTCCGATTCAGTAAGTCTATGGTAAAAGCCGTAGCTTCTCACCATGTGGTGGATTCTACATAATGTCTGAGCTGTTTATAATGCCAATCGTTTTTCTGGTTATAACTAATGACTTCACATTCGATGTGAATTTAAACTAAGCTCAAGGGGAACCCTGGCCAACAAAATGATCTCCTTGCAAAACAATGACAACTCCCTGGTGTGTGTACCTAAAGACAGGGAAATAACTTAAACTCAAGTTCTCTGAGCACTTTTCCATTTTGTCCCTCCCTTTTAGTATGAAACACTGTTTGCAATCAAAGCTTTCTCTTTTAATTTTGTTTCATTACAAAAAGAATAAATTGTACATAGAAATTTATTATATATATGAATTAAAAATATATATGTTCAAATGTTTGTTGACCATCATTGAACTGTGTGTGTGTGTGTGTGTGCGTGCGTGCATGCGTGTGTGTCTTTATATATATATGTGTGTGTGTGTGTGTATATATATGAGGTGTGCTGCCCAAAGACACCACGTGATGTGCAGTGACTGGGGATCGAACCGGGGACTTTTGGGTCCCAAGCCGGCTGCCCTGCCTCTACACCATCTCGGCTCCCTACTGTGTGTGTGTGTGTGTGTGTGTGTGTGTGTGTATGTATATATATATA